AGCAAAATGTAGTACACAATGGAAGGCTTGAACAAGAAGGAAAGCCTGGGCTGGTCCTGTAGCCTAATGGTTAAGGCTGCCAAATCCCATATAGCCAACCATAGTTTGAGTCCTGGCCCCAGTGGCTTGAAATACGCACCAGGGGTCCAGCATGTGACATAGTGGTTGAGGCTGACCAAAGTTAGAGTCCTGAACCTGGCAGCTTGTTTTCTCACTTTCTCTTTCTCTCTCTCTCTTTCTCTCTCTGGTGACTGCACATGCCCTATAGCAAATTAATATTTTTTAAGAATTATTTTTATTTAGCTATTTATTTATTTTATTTTATTTGACCAGAGAGAGACAAAGAGAGAGAAAGCAAGTCACCAGGTCTGGGACTCGAACCGCGGTCAGCTATGTGGGAGTCCCACACCCTTAACCACCACACTACCTGCTGGTCCTGCCCTATAGCAAATCTAAAATAATAATAATAATGATAATAATAATAAAATTAAAATAAATAATTCTTTTTAAAAAATCTTGGAAACACATAGGCCATATAAGTGCCCAATATGTTTGTGCCCAAAATTTCCATGGGATCGAGAAATGGAGGAAAAGGTATTGCAGCATGACCACACCCCACTGGGGGATGCTTTCTTCCTCTCCCTCTCTCTGTTTCTCTCTGGTGGGTACAGACACTTTCTGGCAATAAAAATGATAATCATGACAATAATAATAACAAAGAAATGAAAGGAAAGAAATAATGTCATATGCTACAACTCGGATTGGCTGGACCATGAAGACATTATGCTAAGTGAAACCAATCACAAAAGGACAAATACTGTGTGATTTGATTTGTATGAAGAATCCAGAGTGGTCGAATTTATAAAGACAGAAAGTAAAAAGGTAGTTGGTTACCATGGGGCTGGGGGTAGGGAAATGCAGAGTTAGTGTTTAACAGGTACAGAGTTTCAGTTTGGGAAGATGAAAAAGTTCTGGAGATAGATGGTGGTGATGGTTGCACAAAAATGCAAATGTACTTAATACCACTGAGCGTCCACGTCCAATGATTACAATGGTAAGTTTTATGTTACGCATATTTTGCCACAATCAATTTTAGAACAGGCAGTCGTGTCCATAGCATTATAGTTAAATACTATGCGCTGGGAGCCAGATACCATGTAGTCGACCATAGTTGGAGTCCAGGACCCAGTGGTTTAAAAAACACCCAGGCATGTGCATGTACATGCCCAAAATCCTGATGGGATGGGGAAATGGAAGGAGAAGGATTGTGATGTGACCATGCCCTGTTGGGCTGTGCTTTCTCTCTCTTGTGCATGATGTGTACGTGTGCATGCATCCTCAAGCAATACATATATTTTCATTTAAAAGATTTTTTTTTTGGCGATGTTTTTTCGCTATAGGGCGCGTGCGTTCGCCAGACAGACAGAGAGAGACATAGAGACAGGAAGCAAGAAATCACCCCCCAGGGGGGATGGTCACACCACAATCCCTTCTCCTCCATTCTCCTCTCGGGATCTTGGGCACGCATGCACACGCGCCTGGCGTGAGTTTTAAGCCACCGGGTCCGGGACACGAACTGTGGTTGACTACGTGGGAGTCCAGCGACATAGCCATTACGCTAACTGCTGGTTCCCTCATTTAAAAGATTTTTAAAGGGGGACCAGGAGATGGCGTAATGGTTATATCACTGGACTCCCGCATAGTTGACCACAGTTCGAGTCCCGGACCCAGTGGCTTACACTCATGCCAGGCATGTGTGCCTGTGTGCCCAAGATCCTGAGAGGAGAATGCAGGAGAAGGGATTGTGGAGTGGCCATTCCCCCCTGAGGGGTGATTTCTCACTTTATCTCTGTCTTTCTGACAAGCACATGAACCCTATAGCAAAAACTTCTCCCCCCCCCAAAAAAAAAAAAAAGATTTTAAAAAAGAAAGAAAGCAGGTAAGAGGGAAAAGTAGCACTGAGCAGAGAGACACTGTTTTACATGGGAAGATCTTGGGAGGGTGCATGGATTGAGTGCCATCTGAGCAGAGACATATGCTCAAGAGAGGGAATAGGGAAAGGGGTGTACCAGGCAGGGGTCCAGGTACTGGTACCAAAGCCTACCCAGGCAGACACCCTGAGGTGAGGAAGAAGGGACATTCTAGGAGGTGAAACTGCAGGGAGAACAGAGACACTCACAGCCTCAGAGGCTCTGGCTTAGAGAGACCAGACCTGGGGGAGGGAAGGTGTATGGGTCAGAGGTCCAGAACCAAGGAGACAGCCTTGGTTTAACCATAGAGAGCCTGAGGAAGGGACCCTGCACAGAGGCGCAGGTGGAATGCAGGAATGAACCAACAAGGGATAGGGAAGCAGTGGAGGACACATCGCAGCAGGAGACTGTTAGCAACCCCGAGTGTGGAGTGCAGAGGGAGGAAACCGAAAGCCAGAGACTGGCTTGAAGAACCGAGGAAGAGGGGCTGCTGGACCAGAGCTGGAGAGGACCTCTGCAGGGGATAAATATCTGACTGGTCTCTCCTCCCACCCTCCATTCTCCTGGTGATGCCTCCCCTCCAGTGCACCCAGATGCCAAGAGAAGGGAGCCTGGATAACTGGTCTGTAGAGGTCAGCCTTCTCCAGGCTGGGCAGAGAAAGGCAGAGAATGGACCCAGAGGAGCAAACAGAAAATCCAGCGCAGATGGCCATGCCATTTGTTGAAATGAGCAACTCAGAGAAGGAGCACTTTGAGGAGAATTAGCAGGATAGGTAGACAAACCAAGAGAGGTCCGTCCCGTTGAGCCAGGACAAGGGAGTGGCAAGGGGGTCAAGGCCTCCCAGGTCTGGTAGAAGAGAGGGTCCCCAAGCACCTCAGGAAGTTTGCTTGCAGCCGGCTTGCAGGCCCCAGTCCCCTTCTCTCCTGAAGCAGCTCCCATTGTGACGTGTAGGAGACAAGGGCTGTAGAGGTAGAGGAGGGGAAGGCAGGGGAGGGGAAGGCAGGAAGAGGGGTGCCCAGCCAGAGCAAAGTATTCCCAGGCACTAGTGCCAAACTGAGTTGAGGCCAGAATGGTCAGGAACCAGATCAGTGTGGTCAGGTTTCATAAAGCCAGCTTCATTTTAGGAATGGGCTTTTCCCTGAGATGATGCCACATCCCTGTACCCGTTCTGGCTTTCCTCCACCCCATCCATACACCTAGTCATGGCTCCTCTAGTGAGGGGAGACCTGTAGGTGCTCCCAGGACCCTCTACCAGCCCTCAGTCTGTCTACTCCCTGCTCTGCTCCAGAGGCCCAGCCAGGCAAAGGGGGTAACTCTGCCTGGGAAGGGGGAGCAGATGAAATATTTATGCAGCCGGAAGGTAGGAGAGCAGCAGAGGACTGCCCCAGGGCTATGGGACTGCCGCAGTGGCAGCAGCTGTAGCCCACTCCTCTCCCCTGCCCTCAATCTTTGTTCCGCAAACAGTGTGAGTGCTAATATCCTAACCTCCTCCGCCCCCTGCCCCCCCCCCACACACACACACATCCCAATCTGAAGCAGAGGCACAGTGGCATGCACCTGTAATCCCAGCTCCTGGGGAGGCTGAAGCAGGGAGATTCCAAGTTTAGGACTGGCCTGAGCAACATAGCAAGACCTTGTCTTTAAAAATAAAGAGCCAGGCAGCCCTACGGCTTAGTGGTTAAGGGAGCTAGATCCCACATGACTGATCGTGGGGTTCAAATCCCAGCCTGGGACTTGAAAAACATGCCGTGGCCATGGGTGCCCAAAATCCCGACAGAACGGAGACGGGATTATGGTTGACCACACCCACTAGGTAATGCTGTCTCCCTCTCCTTTTCTCTTTCTGTTTCTCTATCTCTGGTAAATACATGCCCCCTGTAGTAAATTTAAAAGTAAAAATAAAAAGCCATGCTTAGGGATTGGCCGGTGGCATGGTGGTTAAGGGCACTGGACTCCCACATGGTTGACTGGGATTCAGGACCTGGACCTGGCAGCTTGCTTTCTCACTTTCTCTCTCTCTCTCTCTCTCTCTCCCTGGTCAAAATTAAAATAAGTAAATAAATAAAATCATTCTTTTTTGGAAAAAAAAAATGTTCAGTGAGGTAAGCTTGCAGTCCCAGCTGGGAGCTGAGGTAGGACTTGACAAAACTCTGTTTAAAAATAAATAAATCCATACAGCCAAGAGATGGTACGGTGGTTGGGGTGCTGGACTCTCACATGGCGGACCAGGGTTCCAGTCCCAGACCTAGAAGCTTCCTTTCTCACTTTCTCTCTCTCAAACTCTCTGGCAAGTGCATGTGCCCTACAACAAATTAAAAATGAAAATAAAAATAATTAAAAATAAAAACAACTAAATACATTTTTTAATAAATAAATAAATCCATGCTCCAGGCACCTGACTGGCCTTCAACCTCAGCTTCTGCTGCCCAGGCCTGCCACAGGCAGGCTGGAAGTAGGGGACTCCTCACTCCCGGGTCGCACTAGGGAAAGGTCTCTGTTTCCAGCGCCCCTACCCCTGTTGGTGCACTCACTGAAAAGGCCGAAGGAAAGACAGGAGCTGTGAGACGAGATGGACAGGCCGCCCAAAGCCACACAGGAAGTAACCAGAGGGTGATTTGAATTCAAACCCAGCAACACCGAAAGGCCAGCGATTTCATTCACAAAATCTTTTCCCTGTTGGAAGATGTCCCTTTGCCTCCTCCACCATGCCCAGCCTTGGTCCGGCCACCAGAAAGGGATGACAGGGCATCCTGGGGGCGTCTCTCAGTCTGACCCTGGCGCCCTCTTAGACACCATCAGCCGGGATAGTGGCCTGACAAGATCTTTGGATACCGAATGCCACTCCCAGATTCAAATTATTTAATAACTTCCTCTGCTCCGCGGAGGGAGGCCTCCATGCCTGCAGAGGGCGCTGTGGAACCAGACGCTGAGCCGCTCTGGCGAGCGAGCGGACAGGGAGGCCGCCTCCATGGTGGTGCGCTGTCCAGCATTTCGCGGCCCCGGCGGGGGGCCCGGGGGCGCGGGGACGGGGGGGCAGCGGAGCGGTCCTGTCCAGCCGAGCCGAGGAGGCGACCCGGACAACCTGGGCCGGAGGGTCTGGCTCCAGCGCCCGACAGAGCGCGGCGGTCAGCAGGGAGGTGAGAGCCCCTGGTGGGGCGGGGGCATTTCCCAATGGGGCTGGGGCTGGGTTGAATCTTGGGCCTCCCCAACCGGCTAGGGATAGGGTCTGCAGGCCCGGGAGCAGAGGGTCGCGGTTAGGGGGCTGCTAGAGTGTCCGTCCGGATGTTCGAAGCACCTGGGGAACAGAGATGAGAGACGTGGTCCATGTCACTGAGAGGGCTGGAGAAAGTGAGAACCCTGAAGGGTCATGAACAAGAGTCCCCTGGGCATAAATGACCATGACCAGGCCCTTGAGGATTTCCCAAAGCAGTCCAATTGTCAACCAAGAAGAAGGACCTACTCCCCAGGGAAGGGAGACGGTGCAGGGACCCTGTGGGGATGCTGGTCACTGACAGGGGCGGAGGGAGCAGGCTCCCGCCTGGATGCCGGGCCTCTGTCCAGCAGGGGGTGTCGGAAGAGGGGACAGTCTGGCCTCTTTCCCAGCTGCCCAAATGCCTCTGGGGAAACAGGAGCTGGCAACAAGAACTGGGTCTCACACAGGATGGCATTTACTCTCACACTGGGAAGAGGATGGAGGACACAGAAGAGAAAATAGCCACTAGGGCGGGAGGGGGGGGTTGTCTCTTTGGCCTCTCTGGATGTGCAGAGAGTTTCTAGAGCTCAGAGTGGTCTCAGCCCCAGAGCGAATTCCTAGTAAAGAGGAGAGCTAAGAAAAAGACGCAGCCTCTGCCTTGCATCCTCCTCCCCCTCCTTCCCAGGGCTCCTGCCTGGACAGTATTAGAGCCTTCTGCAGTTCCTGCTCCTGGCAGCAGGTTCACTGTGGGATGGATTTGAGGGGAGCAAGAGAAGGGAACCCTGGTCCGACCTGGTGCTCCAGCGGCTGTGCTATAACCAAGCCACAACACCTCTCTCCCGTAAGACCTCACCCCTCACCACTTCCGGCCTCAGTGGGTCTGGGTGGTCTTTTGTCCTGTGTCAAGAGAAAAGGCAGGTACTTTGATGCAGAGCAGGGCAGAGGCTGGAGAGTTCCTCTGTCCATGGGGCATTTTAAGGTTATGGCCCCAGCTGGTTCCAGATTCTTTCTAAGCCAGAAATAGGCCCAAGCTGGCTAGGAAATTGCTCCCACTCAACACCACCTTTTTGGTTCCTTAACTTTATGCCCCATCCCACTCTCCTGTGGGGTGGAGGAGGAATTCTTGAAGAGTGACTAAAGAGTCAAATGGGTTTTAAGAGGTGGGGTAGGTGAACTGGAGTTGCGGACTCTCAAGTGAGAGAGACATTGGATCAGACCTAGATTATGTGACCTCAGGAGCTTAATCTTTCTGAGTCTGTTTGCCAGACTGTGAAACAGGTAGAGTGTCAACAATCTCTACTTCGTTGCTGAATGAAATAATCCAGATAATGGAGGGGAAACCACTTTTAAGCTATAAAACGCTGGGTGAGCATTAGTAAATAGAATGCAAGTAATAATTTCTCACAGAGAAACTGGATAATGGTAGAAATGTGTTCAGTGCTGTTTGAAGCAAGTCTTTCTCTGCCGGAGGAGGAGACATTGGTGGAGGGCCTCGTACAAGACCGTGTGCTCGGCACAATGGCAGAGTTGACCTCGTTAATCCTCACAAAGCTTCATCGTTGTCCCTGTTTCACAGCTAAGAAGCAAGGTTTGAGTGACTTTCCCAAGGTCATGAAGCCACTCGAGCTGTCTTCCCTGGGGAGGGGAGTGCTGCTGCTGATCTGTCCAGCCTCTCGATACAGGAGCTATTAAATGCTGACTTCTTGATTCATAATGCCGGCTTTACAGGTGGAGAGCCTGAGGCACATGGGTGAGAGTGTGCAGTGCAGTGAGGAAGTGACTCCCCCAAGGTCACTGGGATATTTGGAGTTGGACTGTACTTTGAACTGGCCAGCTGGATCCCCCACTGCAGCCTACCCCCACCACTGTCCCACCTGCCAAAGGGGACATATGGGTCTGGAAGGCCTATCTGCTCTCTGCTATATCCACTTCTACCTCCACTGCCTACCAGCTTCTTGCTGACCTCAGCGAGCTGGTGACTGCTTGTTCCTCCCTGAGTGGTTAACCCTTGCCCCCTGAGATGGCCAGTGGTCACGAGCAGCTGCCAGCACTTCTGGAGCCAGCCTCCCCTACTGACTTTTCTCCCAGGGACAGAAGTCTTAGCTCCTCCTGCCTCAGCAGCCAGCCAGGGGCACTGCTGGGCAGATAGGAGAGCCCAGCTACTCTTCCTTAACTCACATGCGTGTTCTGAGCCCCTGCCCAGGGACTTGTGCTTCACATATGTGATCTCATCTCATTCTCATGTGACCTGGAACCTAGGTGTGCTGTCTTCCTTTCACAGAGGAGCAAACCAAGACCTGGAAGTGTGACATGACTTTCCCAAGGTCACAGAACAAGGTCTTGGCACAACCCAAGCCCACTGCCTCAGTGCCTCCAGGTGCTTTCCACAACGTCGCTCTGTCCTCAATTCTCCATGCTTTCTGGGGTGAGGGTCAACCGGGGCATTATGGGCCAGTGGGCATGTGTGTGTATGGGGGAGGGGATTGAAGGTAACTGAAGTTCTCTGAAACAGGAGTCCAAGGACCTTTCTGTGCCCAGCTTATCTTGGCTCCTATGTGGCCTCAAACAGGTACCCTCTCATCTCTGGGCACACGTCCCCAACCATAAAATGATGGGATCTGACTAAATGACTCTTCCACAGACCCTCTGTCAGCAGCAAGATTTTAAGATTTCCTTGCTTTATAAATCTGTATGTTTGCAAACCTGTGGTTCCCTCAGCAATGGTAGAAGTCACCTCCACTGTTTGAAAGATTGATTTATTAGTTAAAATTGAGATCTAGAATTCACCTATTCATCCTCCAGGTTTAGATTTGGAGTCTAAACTAAAGGGGGAAATATGGCTTGCAGAGGCCCCCTGGCTCACCTGGAAATCCCAGGAATCTTTGGCTGAACCAGGACCAGGTCCTTCCTGCCCAGATTTGAGGTGACCTACAGAGACACCACAGATGCCCTCCAAAATGCCCTCCTCCCAGGGTTGTTTGTCAGAGCCCAGGGGGCCCTTGCACCCACATGCACAGGTCCAGTGAAGCAGCAGGGGTGCAGTGATTGAGGTTTATTTATGGAGTTTTGGAGAGAAGGAATTTTGCAGCTGGTACTCTAAAGAGAGGAGACAGGGCCCTGCCAGAAGAATTGAGTCGGTATGGCAACTAGTCCAGGCTGAGTGGGGAGGAACGGGAGAAGTTCCTTCTCAGGTCCGACACCTTGGCTCAGTAAATGGGTGGAAAGCTTCAAGACAGGAAAGGGTTTTAGGAGGGGAGAAGGGATCCAGGAGGGGGACTTACTGAAGGGCCAGAGGCTCAGGAGAATAAGGGAGGTTCAGTGAGGCAGGAAGGGCTCAAGATGTGGTGCTCTGAGAGAAGTCTAGTAAGTGGAGAGGAGTTAGATGAGGGGAGGAGCTGGGTGAGATGGTGGTTGTGGAGGGGGTTAGTAAGTGGGGTATCAGAGAGGAGGATAGGGTCAAAGAGAGAACGGAGGCTCAGAAGAACAGCAGGGCTTGTGACAAGGGAGGGACTCATTACAGACAAATACAGGCCTAGGTCTTCCTGTGCCTTAGCGCCTGCTGACGCCTCTGGGTTCCTGCCCTTTCGCTCTCTTCTGGGTCATGAGCACAGGAGGGCAGCAGCGCCAGCCCCAGAAGCCCAGCCCTGTTGGTCCCATGCCACCCAGAATGGGGCTGTCAGGGGGCCTGGGCAGGAGAGCCAGGTCTGGATCTGCTGGGCTATCTACTGGCCTAGGAGAAAGTCTTCAGTGGCTGTGTGTGCCCCTTGGCTCCTGAGCAGCCCTCCATTCCCAGGGACACCCCCTGCAGCCAAAAGCCGCCTGCCCATCAGTCTGCAATGCCGCTTCCTCGGCAGTCAGCCTGGCCTCAGCCTCCTGCCGCCCCCGCCCTGGCCACCTGCCCACTGCAGAGGCTGCTGTGCCAGCCGAAGCTGGCGGACAGTGCCCAGCTCTCTCAGCATCCTTCCAGGGCCTATAGGGACTGTGCAGACGCTCATGCCCAGTTCCCAGACCCTGGAATCCAGGCAGCTGCAGAGCCTTCCCCACCATCTTCCTCCAGAACTCCCCAGGATGGAGTCAGAAAAGTAGGTTGGATTGAGGCCTCTTGTATTGATGTGAAGAATGGCACATCGTCATTGTACAGTACTTGGGAAATACAGGAACTAAGGAGAAAATAAAACTCATCAATGGTCCCACCACCCAGACATACCCATGTTGGACATGGTGAGGTATTTCTTTGCAGGATTTTTCCTGGTGTTCATAGGTACGTAGAATTGAATAGCTGGGAACACACTGTTGGAGGAGAACTGCATCCTAGTTTTCATTCATTTTTTATGTCTTTTTTTTTTTAAATAGTTTGCTATAGGGCACATGGGCTTGTCATAGAGATAAAAAGAGAGTGCAAAATCACCCCTGGGGGGGGGCGGTAGCCACTCCACAATCCCTTCTCCTTCAGTCTCCTCTCAAGATTTCGAGCACACGTTCCTGGTGTGTTTCTCAAGCTGCTAGGACCAGGACTCAAACTGCATAATTGGTCATGTGGGATCCAGGCACCCTAACCATCACACCACCAGCTGGCCCCTTATTCATCTATCATGTACGTTCTCTGGTGTCTTGAAAGATTTAATTATTTAAAAACTCTTTTAAAGGCTTATTCATTTATTTCTTCCATGAGAAAGAGTTACAGAGACAGAAAGACAGACACCCCCAACAGGGTGTTCAAGCCATGATCCACCTCCAGCTTCAGCCAGCCTGGATTATAAACCAACATGTGTCCAGTGTGCTCAGAGAGGTGTTGGGATATGAACTCAAGACCTTTCCCCTGTGAGTCCATTGTCTTACCACTGTGCCATCAGCTGGCCCCAAAATTCTTCAAAATAGACACTTCTAATAGCCATGTAGAGGCTGGACATGGGTGGAACTGCTTCCCATGGAGAGTTGTGGAGA